GGTGGCCGGGAGTGGCCACTGCACTCCAGTCTGGGCGACAGAGTGAGACTCCAACTCAAAAAAAAAAAAAAAAAAATTACACTGTCAAGATGAGATCCAGTAGAACTCGGCTTTTAGAGCTTGTCCTCAGCAGGTATATGTATCCTGAAAGATTTGGGGCCAACAGAGCTGTCAAAGAATGAGCCTTGGATGTTTCTTACTTTTACAATATTTGATGAGAAATACTTGATGGCCAAAAAATAATAAATAAATAAGTAAACCTAAAATTAGTGAGCAAATGTGAAAAGTTTACTTTAACTTAAAATAAGTTTTACAGTAAACTAAGTTATATCCCCTGCTTTTTCTGCTTATTCATCTATTCTATGAACGTAATATGCTGAAATAATACCCTATAGTGAATAAAACGTCAAACTGTGGTATGTAATAACTTTTATTATTGCTAGGAAAGGGAAGACACTGAGTGAGGTTTTCAAGAATTACTAGGGAGTAAGAAGCTTTTAAATTGTCACTGAAAACAGCTGACAGGTGAAAAAGTTAACTTTTTAGTATAAGATTGTTGGCCACAGATGAGAGAGATTATATATCAAATGAGGGAATTCTTGGCTTCCACTTGCTCCCTACAGTTTTCATAGCTTCTTTTATGTCCTTATTCCTCAATGTATAAATTATAGGGTTTAGCATGGGGGTAACAACACTATACAATACTGAGATCAGTCTGTCTTTCTCCAGTGAGTAAGTTGAGATGGGCCGTACGTATGTGAAAATGGCACTGCCATAATAGAGAAGAACAATGATCAAGTGGGAGGTACATGTAGAAAAGGCTTTTTGTTTCCCCCCTGAGGAGTGGATCCTCAAGATGGTGGAAATTATATAAATGTAAGAAAGAACAATACACAGGAAAGGAGCCCAACCAATGAAGGCTCCAATGGACAGCAATGCCAACTCATTGACGGAAGTGTCCCCACAAGACAAGATCAGCAAAGGGGGGATGTCACAGAAGAAATAATTAATCTGATTGTTGCCACAGAAGGGCAAGCGGCATGTCAATACTGTGTGCACCACTGAATTGAGGAAACCACCACTCCAGCATGAGGCTGCTAACTGGTTGTACAGGGCTTTGTTCATAATCATGGAATATCTTAAGGGTTTGCAGATTGCAATGTACC